ATATGCTGTGAAAAGTTCTGGTCTGATCAAAAAAGGCTAATATACTGTAAAAGACACTTTGCCACAGTTCAGGTCTTATATATTTCACTGATTTTTGGATGTATTATGTCCATATGGTGAGTAGATTTTCTTCATTAGCTTTCATTATTTTGACTACATGCGTGTATATGTTATATTCTTCTAATCAGAGAGCTGCAGTATTTTATTCATGTCAGCCATTGCTCTAGCATCTAGTGGGCACAAAAACTTGCAATCTCAAGCAATGTGGGAACATGCTACCATCCAAAACACATCACATTAATGTTGTTATTAAAGATAAGGATTTCAAAGTGACAGGTGAGATTACAATCTCAAAATGTTACAATAATATTTGTCAAAGGCCTGTGAGAGATATTTTGGTCTCCGAGCATATGCTGTCTGATACTGTTTCAAGCGCCTTGAGGCAACGGTTGTTGTGATTTAGCCCATTATAAATAACACTGAACTGAATATGAAAATTTAGGGGGAGAAAAATGTGGAAAAGCAGGAGACAATGATTTATTCTAGGATCATGATATTCTTTACCCAGCATAGTGGCTTCACACTGTCACACAGCTATACTGTAAGGTCAAATCGAATATAGGCCATTTTCTAACCCATTTTGAGAATTGTTTACACCTCAATTAGCCGAGAAAGCAAGAAAAACAAGAAACCTACTAAAAATAAACATAGAAATTTTTCATATTTATATTTAAATATTGTAAACTGCTGGAGTTAATTACAGTGAAATGTGCATCACACATAAATTTGCTAATTGACTTGTAATGTAATTTTTATTCCTTTGTAAATCAAAGGAATATCTCAGGAGTATTGAGTAGCTGAGCTAGATATCCACAAATAATACCTTCTTATCGACTGCGTCTCCTTTTATGATAACATTTCCCCAAACCAGGAGGCGGTTCTGGTCTAAAGAACTCCTGGATAAAAGCAATCAATGTGAAGAGACCACCTCACAGACTACTGTCACTAAAGTGTACAGCAAAAACTGTTAGCATCACTAATGTCACACGTGAAAAAGGCAATGCCCTTATTAGAATTTAAAACTATTCAAGTCAGACTGTATGAGAAATAGTTAATGTGCTGGTTAATAGAAGTGCCTTTGTTTGGTTAGGTGACACCATGCTTCAAACAACTCTTTCCAAGGTAAGTCTACCTACTGCCTGCATCAGTCACTCTCCGGCCGGTATAAATACTTCATCATCAGGCTGTCGACCTTCTTCTTTCTCTTCTTCTCATCCTTTTTATTAAGGGGCTGAGTCTCGCTCTGAGACCCAGCTTCTTCATCCACTTCTGGACTTGAAGCCTTTCGAGCTGGTGCCCTTTTCACACTGCTGGAACTTCGGTAGGAAATAGTGGAGGCATCAGAGCTGGATTCTGATTCTGAAGATGAGGAAGATGAGGAAGAAGACAAAGACTCATCCTTCCTTTTGGATTTTTTCTTAGATTTTTTGGATCTCCTCTTGGAGCTGCTTTTGTGACGATGGCCATCTTCTGAGCTGTCAGAGTCAGAGCTGTGGCTTCTCTTCTTTTTCTTGCTCTTTCCTTTACTACTGTGGCGATGGCGGCTACTGCGGCTACTGCGGCTACTGGCTGGTCTCATGCAGTCCGCAGCAGATGCAGAGCGTCTGAGGCTGTTGACAGAGTGAGTATCTTTTCTGTCAGCTTCATTATTGTTGAACTTTTCTTCTTCACAGTCAGAGTCTTCCAAAGTCCTGCGCTTGAATTGGATAGGTTTAAAACTCAGGACTTCATTGATGGCTTTCTCCAGGTCAGGGTCAAGGTAGTTGCGATGGCTGACTGTTTTGACATCCAAGTTATCAACTGCGTCGTTTTCAAAATTTGATCTGACTTGTGGTGGTGGCATGGAGATACTGCGTCCAGTTGAAGAGTGTGGACTGTATGCTGACCTCTCAGTGAAGGCCACACTTCTACTATCATCAATATCAACATCAAACTCACTAAGACGGCTGCTGTAAGCCACTGAATCAGGCCGACTAACACTTCCGGGACTACAACCTCCAAAACGTCTGCTATAGCAAGGGCTACTGGGACCACTGCTATACTGTGAGCGGCTCCCTCTACCCTTGTCTAATCTTGAGGTGCTTTGATGGCGTCCAAGTGGGCTTGACAGACCTAAGCTGACGTTAGACTTGGCATCATTCTCTGGGTTTAACCCAAGAAATGTGGAGGCCCGACTTGGTGCAGTAAATGAAATGGTTGATTCTTTGTTAAAGTTGCTCCAGCGGCTGTCCAGGCCTTTTCTAGCCTGGCTGTTGGCTTCTGAATAGGCTTGGGAGATGACTGACTGTCTGTCATTCATGCCATCCAATACCTGAGACTTTCTCCTTGAGCTGGCTAAGTATGCATCATTCTGAAAATCAGAAGCTTGGGGTTTTGGTTTACAAAAGGATAGCGTATCCTCTGACTCAGCATTCTGACTGAAGAGGGCATCTCCTTTGCTACTGAGGTTGGATCGTTTTCTGTAGCTTAGGGAGCTCATCACTGAAACTGGCCTGCTTGTTTCTACCTCTCTGCCTTCTTTATTCACCTCTTTCCATTCCTTACCCTCTTTCAATTCCTTTCCTTCCTTTGCTTCTACATTTACAGCACTTCTACAAAGAAAAACAGGAAGAGACAAAAGAAATAAAGACAGTGGGAGAGAAAATGACAAAGACGAGATATTAGGCAAAAGCAAAGGTGAGTGAAAGAAGAGAATGAAATGTGACAAAAATCATAAAAACTGAAATGAGAGAAGAAATGCAAGTGCTGAAATTTAGCAAAATGAGATGAAAGCAAGGAAAGCAATGTAACACAATATCACTCAGGTTTGGTTCAGGGCTAATTTGTCTACCCATCTATACAGTCCTATAAAAATGTGTGACTTTTAATAATTTTTTTCACGAGCACATAAAAGTGCACTTGTATGCATTTCACTCGCATAATGTGGCTGAAACTCACAGAAAAATAAACTTCACCACAGCTTAAATTCTCCCTTAAAACATAGTCCTTTCTCCCCTTTTTCCTTTTCTTTTGTTTTATAATGAGTTAAAAAACCCAACAGGAACTCTAAAGTATCTGTACCTGTGTACTGGCAGTTAGTCACTGAACTTGAAAGTGTGTGTCCATAGGGTGAAGCTGCTGAGAGAAATTTAAAAACACCAAGTATTTAAAGTTGGGAATGACTCAGCTCAGCTCAGCTGAGGGAGGAAAGTTAAATCTGGTTAGGAGATAAATCTGGCCCAGTCAAAACCGTCAGCTCGCAGACATTAATCTCAGCAAGCGGCTCAGGTAGACTGTGCCAGCTGGCCTATGGGCATATCGATAAATCCACTACCAAGGTCCCCTCCTTTTACTAAAGAAAAAAAAGCCCTGCTTCACCAAGTGGATGACAATGAAGACAGAACAGTTTGAAAAATACATTTAATAGCAGTCCCTTCTTTTCAGTTAAATTCTCTGTGTTGATGGCTTTATTTCCTCAGGCCACAACATGTTAACCTTTTTAAGCAGATATGCTTAAATATGCTAAGTCCAGGAAAAACAAATGTCTTGGCTGACTGTTTCCCAACTGCTGAAGAGACGGTGAGAGTTGCTACTGTAACCCACCTAAAATTTGCCTCATGAAAATGAACTGCTGTTCCCAAAGAATGTCAGTAGGTGGCACTATGAGATTGTTTAGTGCTTGTGAACTTGAGTTGATATAGAGAAAGAGAATAGTGCTAAGGCTACGTATGCTGGTCGGAGCTACTCACCAAGTTTTTCTTTAATCCTTGTTCAAGAAAAAGGTTATGTGTGAAGACACAAATTGGATTCTTGGACTCTTCCGCTTGTTGGGAAACACGGACACTTTTTGTTGATGCCGATGTACCTCTGTTTTTGTGGTTTTTATTCATTTCCGGTGAGTTGACTAACTGCGCTAGCATAGCAAGCTAATCGTTAGCTAATCATTAGCTTAGTATAATGTAAATTTCATGTGTTCCTTTTAAGTGCTGTATTGTGTTTTTTATTTTTTCACTTGTGAATGTTTTAAACCAATCGGAAATATTTCTTTGGAAGCTAGTAGGTAAGTTTTATTTATTGTAATGAGATGTTAAATATGAGCAGTCTTTGGCTAAATAGTACTGCGACCACGTTTTGCACTTTCCTCTGCATCAGTAATGTGCTTTCTCTCAATTCGTTGGATTGATGTGACTGCTGTTCACAAAATATGAGATCTGAGTTAAATTTGTATGATGTGGAAATTGTTTTAAGGTTCTTTGATTAACTTTTATTATTGATTGCATTGAGTCGTTATATACAAAGAGTGAGAGGCATTTGGTCACTAGTGTTGATTAAGTTGTTATATGATATTCATGTAAAATATGTTCACTGCCCTGTGCAGGTTGGTTTTTTGTTGGAGTCTATTGCGAGCCAGGATTCCGGATCGCCAGCTGCGATGTAGGAAAGGTTTCCAGCCTACTTAGAAGTGACAACTGCGTTATTTCTTGACAGATAAGCTTATGAGATCTCAGAACAATACACTACCCGGGTAGTACTACTAACATTAACACTATACACACTCACACACCTGAACTGAAAAGAACTCTGAACTCTAAAACTGAATACACAAACTGACAAATATGGACTATTGGAACTGTTGTGAACTGTTGAATGACTGTTTTTGGTTTTGTTTTTGAATAAATGTTGACTGTTCTTTTAGTTGTGTGTCATTCGCTCCTTAGTCGATTCCTAGAGAACATAAGCCCAAGATCCTAACAAAGTATTGTGTGTTACACTACCTTTGTACTGACCTGAAGCTTTTGAGACTGCCGTCATCAGAGAGATTTTTGGTGGAACCTTTGTTCTTGGACAGCCATGACTTCACCCCTTCCACATGATCCTCCACCTCAGAATCTGTGTTTGAATCCCCTTGACTGGTGCAGGCCAGATACAGGAAAACAGGTCAGCGGAAGCAAAGGAGAGATGAGAGCAAAGAATAGGATAAAGGGAAAAGTCAAATATTGCCATTCAGTGGGAGAATAGGGTGATGGAATATGAATGTGAAATGGCAGTTAGCACAGGTAGTAACGTTCGTGTGTGGTGTTAGTGTGGCAGCGAAGGGTGGCTGTAGCATTTATTCTAGGGGGGGAAAAAACACATGCATGTCAAGTCAGGGTTGCAGAGATATCAACACCTTAAGACTTCACTTATGGTTATCAAACCATGAAATCAATGCCAGAAATTTCACATGTTTTTGAGTGTTTATTGAACCTTCTGGCAATTGTACAAAAAGGAATAAAAATTGTGTATATGAATTTTAATTTGTACTGTATTTGTTACATTTGGTATTTTTTGGGGGGTGGGGGGGATCACACTGATGATGCAGAAATCACAAAAACTGTGTCTGTGTCTGAAATAGGATCCACCAGGCGTTAAGGGGTTAAATGAGCACTACCAATGCTGGCAAACATTAAACTTCTCTACTTCAGTGACAAAGAAAAACATGACAGAGCTATAATGCAAGGCACAACAGCTTTGATATGTACAGTTCAACAGGGAGGGGGGGAGGGAGGGATAGCTCAGTAGGTAGCGTGGTCGCCCCATGATCGGAAGGGGCTCGAATCCACTGAATGGCTTACCCTGAGGTACCCTTGAGCAAGGTACCATCCCTACACACTGCTCCCCGGGGGCCTGATTAGTGGCTGCCCATTGCTTCACTGAGTGAATGGGTCAAATGCAGAGAGAGTAATTTCCCCATGGGGATAAATAAAGTATACATTATTATTATTATTATTATTATTATTATTTGGAGTTAGTATCCTGCCTAAAGGTGTTTGGCATGGATGTGCGCTGCCAGAGACCTACAAAATGATCTCTAGTATAAATGTCTCTGACCAAACTGGACTTGGTTAGGGTGGCCCTGCAACACTGATTAAGTGCCATCAAAGGTTGTGTGGTGCTATGAAATAAAGTTGCTACAGCCTAATTGTCCTATAGAGACATCAGAGTGTGGCTCAACATCTCTGCATCTGTTTCAGAAAACTTACCATCATGTGGAGCACAGAAAGGCCTAGAACCACCGAAAATTAAAATCATTTGCAACCAGAAACTAAAACTGAAGATTTAAAAAGAGATTTTTAACAGTATGCTTTGCCCTATGAGATCCAGCTCTTATGGAATACAATACCTTAAATAGTAATACTGGAGCTGCATTGAATTGAGTCCCAGCCCCAGCAAAGATGATGTAGAAGGGATTGGTGGAAGGACAGAGGCGACAGACTATTAAGCTATAAAAAGCTTTGCAGCACACGTCTCCGCTATTAAATAATCTGTGGGATTTGCTTCTACCCACTGTATGTCCTCATCTTTTCCACTGCCACAAAAGACCGTTCGTTTTCTTTGTTTTTATCTTTCATCTCTCCACATCTCGTGCTGTGGAGACGTAAATTGTTCTTGACATTCTTTCGCCACTGGTTGTACATCTCTGTTATATTCATCATTAGCGTGTATAGATTCTCTGTGTGTCCCTGAGTCTTACAGAATCTATTATTTTTGCCTGCCATATGTGAAAAGGCTGGGCAAGTGAAATCTATGTTGGATAGAGTCATAGGGCGAGAGGCGGAGGTACACCCTGGATTTATCTTTATATACGTGTGTGTGTAGGCACATGGCATGAACGAGCAGGGTCCAGAAAGGAGGGGCAGAACCAAAAATGAGATACTGGTAGACAGAGCACTCACTCAAGACTATAACACCAGACTAATCAACCAGTGCGATGCCTGGATTGACTACAACAATGACTCAATGCCTAATACATGGATCCTGGAATGTGTACAACTATACAAGATCAACAGGATCCCGAGTGCCTTAATCAGGAATTCAGAACAAGCCTACAGGCCAGCTTCAAGCCAATTGCAGTGCGGGATTTACCAAGGAAATTCTCTGTCCCTGGTGCTGTTCTGCATTGGCCTGAACCCACTCAGATTAACAAGACTAGCTAAACGTTAGTCATCTGCTCTACATGGAGGAAAAAAAGGCTATCCAAATCTACCTGGGCCTGTGTACAAAATCCCTTGATTGACTAAATATACAGAGTTTAACTACTGATTTTACTAATACACCACCTTCATTTTTCATTAATTTTTAATCCCACTCTAGATATATTCACAGTTAACCACATCACACAGTGTTTCAAACATTTAAATTTAGCTCTGATTTTTTTAAAAAAAGTTTTAATAATTTACAATGCTTTTCAAATCAATGTATTGCCTTGTGTTTCTGGCCTGATTAAAAGCTGCTGCGGCCTTCGCAGGACAGCTGTTGCAAACATAAATTGAAAGAATATGATGCAACTAATAGTAAACACTTTAGTAGTAAGAAAATTATAAGCCAGAGATGAAGTGTTGAGGAAGGGTGAAGTAAGGGGTTGTCAGAGCGGTGTGTTTGTCTGGTTAAAGACTACATTTTCTTCTTCATTTCTTCCTCACTTCATTTTTATTTTGTTTTATTCTCATGTATTTATTTATTTATTTATTGAGGGGGTGGGAGAAGTACTTCTGTAAAAACCACTGCACACCACTGGGGCAGTGTGTGTAGTTTGGGAGCAGTAGTGTGCAATTCTAAATGAAATCAAATATAAATATATATAATAATATATATATAACAAATATATATCATAAATCAAATCAAATATATACCTTAGTGACTGTTGGTACTA